CTCGACTAACTGTAAAAGTGGCGTGGCAGGGGTGTCTAACCTCCTCTAACTTCACAAGGAAGGAGAATCAAGATCAACAGCCCAAGGCTGATTCCTATTAGGTGGAGGTCAGACATGCCTCCTCTCGCCAGCCCTTGTTACCAATTCTGACACCAGCTGTCCCACCCACTGCACTCTCTACTTCTCTCCTGTGTTAGATTATTCAGTGCAATGGCCACACAGAACTCACAGACAATACTCACAATTATGGGGTTTATTAGGGAAGTAATAGGTTACAATTCAGGTTCAGAAACACTCAGGATACAGTTCTTCGATCAGGACAGCCTCTTCCCAGCCGTGCCCACAGGCAGGTCTCTCTCCAGCCTTTGTCCCCTGGCCTTTGGCCTCTGCTCGGGAAAGTGTTACAAGGCTCTTTTAGCTCTGCCAAAAAGTACCCAGAGGCACTTCACTCTGCCAGTAAGCCTTGACCCGAAGGTGCTCAGCTCTGCCTCCAGAAGTTGATAAACCTAGCTCTACCAAGTGCTCAGAGGCACCCTACTCTGCCAGCAAGCTTCCTCTTGAAGGTGCTCAGCTTTCTTGCTCCGTGGGCTGGGAAGACCACCGCACTGTCTCCTACTGCCGTTTCTCTGCCACGCTTCTCGCTGTCTTCAGTATTACAGCTCTCTCAGTCTCCTGGTTCCAGGACATGCTCAGCACAGGGATCCTGGGTCCAAAGGATGTGCTCCACTCCTGGCCCTTCTTTCTTGGTGGTGTTGAGATCCTCTCTTCCCGCCTCTGGGATGGCTCATTTTAAGCCTAGTGGAATGGCAAAACTGACCAATCCCCTCGTTCCATACACCTTATTTGCATAGTCCCACCCCCACAAGGGTGCAGTGCACCTTATTTACATTATTAGCAAGCTATCCAATCCCCTTGGTAGGCCACAAGCACCTCATTTGCATAACTCCACCCAATCATTTGGTAGGAATTACAAAATCATGGCCAGAAAGGCCATATAAAAGTGATCCATTGCACCAACTAACTGAAAAGGCTTAATGAGAACCACTTTGATCAATTCAGGGTGTTTTTTTGAAAGACATAACAGACACTTGATATGGCCCTTGTCACAAAGATGAGTTTTAATCAAACGTTGTTGCTTGAAGGCCTTCTTAATTGTATCTTTTACTGGTTGAAAATGTGAATCACTTGCCTGAGGTTTCTATATTCTCTCCCATTTCTGCTTAAAAACTGGCAAATTAGTTTCTGAGTCTCTTCTCTCTTACAGTAACTTGCCAAATGTATCCAATAGCAACCAAGACATGCTACTAATATTCTCTTTCCCAATCTTCTTTTTTTTTCTCCCTAAAGTCCCAAGCTCATTTGGACATTATTTATCTTCTTAGTTATTCCCAGCTTACCGTTTATCCAAATGCTTCACCACTGTATAACATGAGTCACCATCTTTCCAACTTCCAGTGATAATTCCTTCATCATCCATTGCCCAGCCACATAGTTTAGGTTTAGTTTTTATTAGCAGCACCCCACTTCTGGGCACTAATTTTGAAACAGTGAGTTTAGACTAGGTTATGATGTAACAACTCTCAAATATCAGTGGCTCACAGCACAAGAGGTTTATGTCTCACTTATGTATCATTTTGCAGGTGGGCTAGAGCTCAAATTCTCATGATCTTCATTCTGGGCTCCAGGCTGAAGGAGAAGTCTTGATCTGGAAACATCCAGGCTCATGGCAGAAGAAACAGAGAAAGGAAGCTGGAAGACTATTCATGGCACTTAAAGCTTCTATTTGGAAGAGGTACTTGACAATTCTACTCACATTCCATTGGCCAAGTCAAGTCATATAGCCAAGCTTGTTGTAAGTGGAGCATGAATGCATAATCCCATAGTGAGAGAACCAGTAGGGGAGGACAGAAAATATTTGGAACAAGAATACAATCTACGATGGGCTGTACCAGAGATTTCGATTGCTGAGCTTATCCACTCCTCCCTTCATCAGATATACACACTCTGCTGCAGCGTTTTGTACCATGTAATGCCTCATATATACCTTGGCCAAGCCTTGACTGAAGGGCAGAAAATTTACAGGTGGGTCAATGTAGCCTGACCTGGAGAGCTGACTGGACCAATCAGATTCCTTTTCTTAAGAATTTGAACCATGAAATATTGAGTAAGTGAGGCAATAAGTGGAGACAGCTGCAGATGAAAGGTTGTGATACAAGGTGGATTTGAAAAAGCCACACTATCCAAGACCCTGCTCCCTGAAAGTTGGGCTGAGAGCAGCCAAGCCAGGATTTCAGTGCAAAACCTGGCCCTTGCCCCTCATTCAGGTCAGCTTCCCACACAAAAAAAAAAAGTATACACAGGGGAGCCTGTGAAATCTCCAGAGCATGAGCCCACTTGTCCACTTGCCTGTGCCAGACCTGCTCCAAACTTGTTACTCACCTGCTCGAAAACATTCCATGGTGTCTTAGTTTCTTAGGGCTGCTGTAACAAAAATACCACAGGTGGGTGTCTTTGGCAAAAAGAAATGTATCTTCTCACAGTTTAGGAGGCTAGAAGTCCAAATTCAGGGCACAAGCTGTAGGGGAAGGCTCTCTTTGTCCAAGGCTCTCCCTGTCCATTCTGGGAGAAAAGGGTCTCGGCTTCTCTGGCATTCTTGGCATTCCTTGGAGATCTCCACTGGCATCCATCTTGCCCTGTTTGTCGTTGCTTGCTTCTGTGCCTAATCTGCTCTTTTATACCTCAAAAGTAATTGGCTTAAGGTATCCTCTACACTGATATGGCCTTGTTAACATAACAAAGAAAACCCTATTCCCAAATGGGATTACATCCACAGGTATAGGGGTTAGGATTCCAAAACATATTTTGGGAGGACACAGTTCAATCCATAACATATGGATTCCCATTGCCCACAGGGGAGTTTCAAACTAGTGAGCCTGGCATCCGAGGCCTTGCCTGACCATCTGGCCACCTCTGCCAGGATGTTCTGGACAGCTTGCTGCATGAGACAGATGTGCAGCCTTTCAGCAGTGGCACTGTCCGGAGGGCCAGGCAGAAGGCACAGGCTGCACAGAGTCACCCAGCTGCATAGATAGGGCATAGTGGATGCCGGGAGCTGAAAATCTCTACCAGATCCCAGCAGGTGCCACAGTCCTGCTTTTTACTCTAAGGGCAGAGAGGTAAAGAAGTGGACAAAGGTGGCAGACGGGACAGGATTCCGCAAGAGATGCAGGCTGCAGGAGGAATGGACCAGAATCAGGGAAGCTCAGAGGCTCCCAGGCCCCAATCAGTCTTCCAGTGGGGCAGGATGCCCCTGCCTTGCAGCTTTCCCGTCGGGTGGGCATCCAGATTGTGCTTGCACACTCCTGGGAGTAGGGAGATCCTTCCTGTGGGTGTCTAGGGCTTCATCTGTACACAGGGCACGTGATCTTACGCAGGCCGAAAGCGTAGGTATCCTTCTGGACTCGGGAAGCTGTGAATTCAGCAGCTGGCGAGGGGGACCTGGCCACGCCTTCTCCTCTAAAGCCCCTGACTCGCTCCCCCTGCTAGTTTCTCTGAAAGTCTACCTCCTTCCCGCCTCTTTTGAAGGTTTGATCACGCCCCTTGATCTCTGTGATCCAATCACTTTTGGGTACGTTTGCAGGTACGCCTTCCCTGAGGCCCCGCCCACGTCAGCTTCCTAGGTTCAATTGCCTTTAATACCGTACGGGCGTGCCCGCAGGCCCCCCAACCCCCAGACCAATCCCGATGTTCTTAAAGGACAACGTTCAGGTCCATTGCCCAATCGTTTTCCAGTTCCGACGGCCACCGCCTCAGCCACGCCCCATAACTCCACACCAGACTCGCAAGCCCTGACCTGGCGCAAGCGCTGTTCAACCACTACGCCAGGACAACCCGAAGCGCCGCAGGCGTCTGCCCAGTCGCGGACTAAGAGCAGAGCAGCAAGGGGCCTGTTTTGGCCCCGCGCTTCGGGCCAGTCCTGTCCCCTGATCCCTCCGCCCATCCAAAGGTCCAGGGCAAGGGTCCAAGGGCACGCCAGCGACCAGAGACGTCACCTCCGGTACCCTCTTGTGGCGCGCACTACATGGCCGAGGCAGGGCAGCCAGGAGCAGCAGTGGCGGCAGCAGCAGCAGGAGTAGCCTGAGGGATCGAAAGTCTAATGGGACTGGCTGCCTGAAACCGGGACCCTAGAACTTGGTGGTGTGGGGGTCAGGCACTGCCGCGAGTGAGCCAGAAGCCAGCTTATCCCTAGAAACTGAGTGTCGTGGACCCGGAGCCACATCCCCCTCCAGAAACTAGGCATCGGGAACCTGCTTGCCCTTAGAAATTTAGAGTCGGGGCCTGGAGCTCAGATGCCTCATAGAAACCAGGGGTCAGGCTCCTCTGCCTCCTCTACCTGCTTGAGTCACATAACTCCTTAGAAACCAGGTGTCCAGATCAGGGGTCAGTGGCTAAGTTTAACTCTTATAAAAGGCAATGCTTTTCAGGTCACAGGGCCTGGCCTGCTGGTCCCTCTTCCTGGCAACCTCTTCCTCTGCTTCTTATAATTGGCTCCTCCTTATTTGACATTCCACTCATGTCACCTCCTCTAACAGGAGACTTTCCCTGACCACTGTATCCAGAGTAACAGCCTGTTATTCTTCCGCCGTTCCTCTTCCTCTTGGCCTCAGGAGTACCCAGCTGATGTCATGCCATCTCCTCCCCTCCCCCACCCATCTCATTGTGTCCCAGCTTGGCCTGGCCTAGCCTCATTGTTTCAGGATAGGTATCCATAGTGGTCTTTCCCCACGGACAGTACTGAGCTGGGAGAGTTCGATGTCGGAGAGAATAGCAGTGCCAGCCTGCTGTGGTCACAGGGCGGAGGCAGTCTGATCTGAGCCTGCCTGGGCTGGATCTGAATCCACTCATTCTTCCAAGGACGGTCAGGGGATGGGGAGGCTGGACAACTGGAGGCCCTGGGCCAGCCCTTCCAAGAAGACACATGCACAGGGGACTCTCCAAGCTCTTTTTTCTTTTTAATTTCTTACAAAACCACATGTCCCAGCCAAAGAGGACGCTGCAGGCCCTCTAGGTATTGTGGCCTGAGTGGGGGAGGCCCTCATGAATGGGCAGCTGCCAACTCCAGAAGAACCATCTGCTCCTCTGCACAGAGGCCAGTTCAGGGGAGTCCGGCTGGAGGCTCTGCCCTGTCCCTCAGCTGCTGGGAGAGAAGGCCAGGCCCTAAGTTCCTGGTGCTCCCGGTACCTACAAGGGAAGGAGGGAGAAGAGAGTCTGAGGGGAAGAGGAAAGGGGAGGAGAGGAGGAAGGCCAGGGATGGGGCAGGCCAGGGTTCAGGCCCCCAATATCTCACCGAATGTGGGACGCTATCCAACCGCTATGGTGATGCCAATGATGACACACAGGATGAGGACAGTGACGGACACGCAGATGGCAATCAAGATTTTCTTCTGCAGAAGAGGAAAGGCTCAGGGAAGGTCACTCAAGAGGGGTCAGAGGGGCACTCGGGTCACACTGGAGAGAGGCTCACCTTCCGTGCCTTCTTCTGGTACTCTAGGGCTGTCTTGACATGCTCCTGCCCACGTTCCACATAGTCCACTGAGCTCAAGATGTTCTTCTCAATCCGGTTGATCATCTCCCCCTGCTCAGAGGAGGGGGCAGCTCAGGCGGGTAGAGATGGCTGGGGATGGGGAGCCCAGTAGCTCCGTCTGCCTACCCCAGCCCCAAACGTGAGGGATATCGCCGGCAGAAGAAACTGCACTAAGGAAGAATGGAGGCAGGACCAAACATGGCCAAAGTTCAGACTCCGGAGGGTGGCTTCCAAGCCCCCTTCTATCACATGTCTCTTCTCCTCTGCTCCCCACACAACCTCATTTGCACTGATGGCTCAAACCTTTTCACAGAGGGGGAACCTTTGTTCCTTCACAAATCTGCTGAATCCAGCCATTCTTCCAGGCCTGTCTCCCAGCTGCTGTGAGGCCCTTCCCCAGCCCTGCCTCCTCATGGCACCACCAGCCTTCAAGGTCCTGGTATTACTACTGAATGAAATCACTTCCCCATGATGCCCAGCTGCAAAAGGGCACTAGCTATAATACTACCTGGGGTCAGCTCATCCAGGACAGGACTGGAAGCTCACCTCATCCCATACAACCAGGGCCAGGGGAAGAACTCCACGCCCCCAACCATGTACAGATTTTAGGAGGCAGACCTTCTAGGGGGCAACTTTGACAGGAGCTCTTGAGGGTATAAGAGTGAACTCTGTGGGTGGAAGAGGAGCCAGGGCTGGGGTTATACTTGGGGCAGTAGTTGGGAGTGGGGGCGGGGGGTGCAAGTCACCATATGTGGAGGAGTGATCATCTGGGTAGGTGTAGCCAAGGGTCGTGGAGGCGCACACAATTTTGGGAGCATGGCTAAGGATGGAAGCCCCTGGCTAGGGGCTCTGACTGGGCATGGCCTCATGTCTAGGGAAGGGCCATCCTGGGAGTATGACCAAACCTGGAAGAGACCAAAAGCCTCAGGGAGAGGCTAAGGATGTAAGAATGAGGTACGCTGACAGTCTTGGCTGGAGGTTCTGATGGAGCATGGTCTCACTTCTGCAGGTGGGGCCAATTTGGCTGGGGCCAAGCCCAGCTAGCTGCCTAGGGTGCCCACCTGCATCTCCACCTCAGTAGCCAGAAAAGTGAAGATCTCGTGAAGTTCACGGATGCTGCGTTCAAGCTGCTGGATCTCGCTGTGCCGGGCTGAAATCTCATTTAGGGCCTGCCGGGTCACCTGCGTATCCTTCAGTATCTGGGGGTGGGTGGGACAGAAGTGGGAAAGGTAGGTCATAGGGAGACCAGCAGCAGGTTAGAAGTTCCTGTTGAGCTAGGGGAGCAGCCCTATGGCCTCAAACTGGGGCCAGGGCCCTGATGAGTGACTCTAGGAAAGCCAATGAATTCCCTTCTGTGCCTCAGTATTTCCTTGAACAAAAAGGGCCTGGGCTCAGGCAGGATGGGAGGCCCAGCAGAGGGAGGCTGTCTGTGGCCACTCACATTGGACACGAACACCTCGCTCTGTCCGCTGTCCAGCATCTGCTCCAGCTCCTCGTCAGACACCATCCCAGCATTGGCTGTGAAGGAGAGGCCAGGCTGTGTGTGGGGTCAGGGTACCCCTCCCACTCCCCCTCCACACTGGGGCTGGGCACCACACACACTGATCTTCAGCTGCCTCCGAATCCTCTCCACATTCTTCTCCCGGTATTCAGACTGCATTGAGTTGCACTTGTTGATGAGCTCCACGAATTGCTGAGACAGGATCCCATGCTGAGGGTGGAGAACACAGGCTGGGTACCTTGGGGAGGATTCCTGCCTCGTTTGGGCCTCAGCATCCCCGAGGGTACAATGAGCAAACAGCATGAGCTATCGTGAGGTGCCTGTGCCTTAACCACCTTGTTGTGATGGCCTCAAAAGGCTCTCCCATTTCTCTGAGAGTAAAAGCTAGAGCTCTTACCAGGACCTACATGATCTGCCCCTCCCCCATTACCTCAATGACCTCACCGCCTACCACTGCTGTCCCCTCACTCACTCCCTACAGCCACCGTGGCATCCTTATTCCTCCCTGAGCAAAGCACACTTGCACCTCAGGGCTGTTCCTTGCCTAAAATGCTTATTCCCCACGAAGGCTTTTAAGTATTTGTTCAAATGTCATTTTCTGAATGAGACGTTCTCCACCTTATTTAAACTGCAACCCTGCCTTCTCCTAGCACTTTCAATCCTTCTTCTCCTGCTCTATTTTTTTTTTTCTTTAATACAATGTTCTAAAATAATTTACTGTTTACTACGGTGACTGTCTCTTCCCACCAGAATGTAAGCTCTGTGAGAGTAGGGATCTTTGTCTGTTTGATTCACTGCTGCAACCCAAACAGCAAGAAAAGTCAGCAGGCATTCAATAAACAGATGTTGAATGTTTGCTGACTGCCAGCCTCTCTTCTTAGAGTCTAGAGGTGCGCCAGGACTCCTGGCAGTCAACCTGATGCACAGATTTACAGGTCTATCTAGGCCCTCAGCCTCTCACACCAATATCCACATGGCTGCTGCTGAAATACCCTCTCTGGACTTCTGTGAGGCTTCTTTGTCCTGCCTTGTTTTCCCCTGATGCCTTAAATGTGTTCCTTCCTTGCATTCCTTCTTCAGAGGCACATCTGCTCTCAAGATGCCCAAACCTCTCCCTCTTTGATCTGGGGTCTCTGCTGAGCTCTGGGCTCACCTACTCTAACCATGACTTCCAACAACTCCAGCCAGTCCTCACTGGGCACCCAGAGGGGGCCTATCAGATCACCTCAAAGCTCCTTACTAAGATGTTGATTCAGCGACCTTTCCCCCAGGGCAGTTCCTCTTCCTGACTTCCCAAATTTGAGGTTGTCCTTGTCATGTGAGCTGGAAACTTCTACTCATTTGACTTCTCCCTCTCCTTCCCTAGGCAGAGCCATTATTCAAGTCCTACTCAACCCCTAACTCCCCACCTCAGCTCCTGGAAAGCATGTCTCCTACAGCTAAGCCTAGGTCATATCTGGGGACTCAGCAACTGTTATAATGGATTGGGAACCAGAAGACCTGGGTTCTTGACCTTAGGTGAGTTCTTCCTCTCTCTGAGCCTCAGTTTCCTCATTTGGAAAATTATCACGTTGGACTTGATCTCTAAGGGCCCTTTGTTCTCACTTCTGCCATCTAATGAGCTACGAAACACTTGCTAGAATGTTCTAGTTCTGAGAACAAGAAACCTACCTGGGTTTTTCTCATCCTCGTGTTGACTGAATTACAATTCTCATCAGCTTCCTCCTTCTGGGGCTCTATTGCTGTGGGAAGACAGCAGAGTATGGGCAGGGGTTGACCTGTGGCTTTTGAAGATTGGGGATGAGGACACAGGGTGAGGGCCAAACCCCAGCCACACAATAGGGAGGTGCCTGCATCCACAGGACTTTTTTAAGGAAATACAATTTAGCGTAAAATGACTAATTCTGAGCCTCTGAGAGGAGAAAGTGTATTTTTCTTTACAATGCATCAGTCAATTCCCACAGGTATGCAGAGGTCTCCTAATAAAAGCCCCATCTGCTTGCACAAAGAATGCACACTGGGCAGCAAGAATTGTAGGAGTCAATGGTTTCATTGTAAGTAAACGAACAGGAGAGTCAGGCATTTGCTATGGAAAGTGTGCTGGACTGAAAGCCAGAAGACCAAGGTTCTAGAGGCCTCCTGTGTGACCTGGATATATCATTGGCCTCTCTGGGCCACACATTCCCCAAACGTACCAGCAGGTGGGTAGGACGAGAGGGAAAGGATATATCTGAACTCCTAGGAGCTCACCCTTCAGCTGTGTGTGGATTTCCCTCCCCAGCTGTTTGATCTCCTCGCGCAGGTTCTGCAGGTCCTGCTTCATGCCTGAACAAGAGAAGACCATGACTTCCAAACAACAGCCTCCTACCTCAACCAACCACCCTGGCCAGCTCCTGTGTGGAACTACAACCCCCACAATCCCTAAGGCTGAGCGTGCGCTCTGCACCGGGGGTTTCACTCACTCTCCTCGGGAAGGGGCGTGGCCAGGATGGTAACCTGCTGCTTCTCCAACTCTCGGACTTTACTCTCCAGCTTGACAATAGTCTGCCGAATTGTCCTGACCTGGGGAGGGTGACAGCGAGAGCTAAAGGTGACATGGGGGTACTCCAAGACCGCACTGCTCTTCATGTCCTCCAGCCCTGTCCCCTCGCAAATCTAGGCCGAGACCCCAGCCCCTTACCTTCTGGAAGAACTCGTCGTCCGGGCTCTCCCGCCGGGCCGGGCCCGGCTGCACAACCAGCGCGATCCGCTCCTTGTCTTCATCGTCCGAGCTGTCATCTCCCTGCCAGGGCCGGGGTCATTGGCACCACTTTCTTGCTGCTGCTCTCGCCCCACGGAACCTACTGGCTTCCGGGTCTTTCCTTCCTGGCCATCAGCCACCCTTCCCTGCCTCGAGGACCAGATCCACCCAGTTTGCCCGCCCCCAACCCTGCTGTCCCGACTTCTCACCTGCCTCAGCTCGTGGGTCCTGTCCCGCATGGCGGCCCGAGCTCCCTCTCCCCCGCGCCTGAGCCCCGAGGGCTTCAAGGATTTAAGTTTGGAACTCCCTTCCCCACTCACACTCTGACACTCCCTTCCCTCACCCTGCGGACCCCAACACCTCCACGAGCCGCCAGAGGCTCTGTCCCTTGCACCGTCCACAGCCAATGGGAAGGAGCCAGCCTCGGGTAACCCCAAGATTCCACAGGTTGGTATTCCCTCTACTGCCCCCCACTATCAGCTCCCGTAGCTTCAGCCCCGCCCGCTCTGGGAAGAGTCGGGGCATGCGCACAAGGATGCGTCTCTGTCGTGCCCGAGGCGGAGGAAGAAGTCGGAAGCTGTGGCGCCCCGAACGGAAGCAAAACTGGCAGGATGTGAGAACCCGCTTTCTCTACAGGAACAGTCTCTTCTTCCAACGGAAATCTAGTTGCCAAAAGGGGTGGGAATGCGTCATTTGTACGTCATATGAGAGGCCCCTCGTCTCACATCACCCCATGGTGGCCCCCTGCATCATGTGACCGTCCCGGTCTCAGCCCCGCGGACCGCAGAACTTGATGTTTTCATTGTCACGTGTACCGGCTCTGTGAACTCCTTTTCTGGGACCCCCTTCTCCCCACGATGTGCCTGGCTCTTCCGCGACCGAGCTACACCCCCACAGGCCCCACGAGTTGGGGGGCGACGCTCAGTACCTCCAGAGAAGCCTTTTGAGGCAGTAGGTGGTAGGACCCTTGCTGAATTTCTCTATTTCTTTTGGGTCCAGGGGCGTGGGCAGAGGCTGACTTAGAATTTGGAGCTGTCAGTATCGTGGGACCTTGAAAGTCAGAGAATAGTAAGATCTGAGTTTTTAGCGTTAGAGAATTGCAGGGCTTTGTAGGCAGAGAATCTGGGGGTAGGAAGTGCCCTCACCGAAGGCAGAATCTTCTCTCCCGCATACTCCTGGCACAGCCTTTGACAGGTGGGCGGTCAGCCGCCCTGCTTGAACACTGCAGTCCCGCTGCACTCATCACCTTCCAAGCAGAGAGGCCATTTCGGGGCAGCTCAGGCTGAGGAAAGTGTCTGCGTTGTATTGAACCGTTTGCTTCTCTGCCACTTACACCCCCCACCCCTACCTTGCACCTGGTTCTACCCTGGAGTCCACAGAAAAATGCCCACATTCAACGTTACAGTGGACTGTGACCTCTTGAGGTCGGGGGTATGACTGCCTTGTTCTTAACTGAATCCCCATAGCGTAGTTCAGTACCCAGCACGTAATGGGCCCTCAATAAATATCTGTGGACAGAATTTTAGCCTTTTACATAACCGAAGATTTAGCTTATTGTTCCTGGTCTTTTCTCCGTTCAGGCTCTTTGCTGTGACACTTTTCTGACCTGGCCCTGCAGACCTTCATTCATTTAACAAATATTTATTGGGCACATACTGTATTCCAAACAGTGCTCCAGGGGCTAGGGATACATCAAGGACTAACAGACAAAAATTCCTGCAATGGTGGAACTTACATTCTATTGGAGGAGTGCCCAGTGCTAACCAGTGACTCTCAGCATAGCCGGAAGTGGATTTCAGGTTTCCTGGATCCCAGAGCTCTCCCCAGGGAGCTTATATGAGGTTCAAGCAACAGAAGGAATGGCCCCCGTCTCATATACCCTGGTCAGGAGATCTAGATTCCTGTCACTGAGTTACTACAGACTTCTGGAAAGTCATTTCTTGTCTCTGGGCCTTGATCTTCCATCTGTACAATGGGTTGGCACTAGAGCGGCTGGGTATTCCCTGCTCTAAAGTTCAATGGCTATGAGCTTGAACACTGAAGTACTATCTGATTGATTCTCTGTGAAGGGCTTCAATCACTGTCTTTCCTTTAGAACCCAACGCACCTGGGGTTGGGAATGAGTGAGTAAGGATGGTGCTGATCAGCCCACAGAAGGGCTTTTCGGGAGCCCAAGCCCTGCTACTTGGGATACACTGAAGGTCATGAGGAAGTATTTCCCTGCTCTTGGGACTTTCAGGTCAGCGTCTGCCTGTTCCATTAACTGCCATTTGCCTCCTGCCTCCTGTCCCCATCCTCTCTCTTTCTCATACTCCGTGTCTGATTGGTATAGTGGAAGGGTTCTTGGACCCCTGACTCCTAGTCCTGCGTGTGATCTTGAATAATTCATTGTTCCTCTCTGGGACTCAATTTCCCATTTGACAGCTTGGTCTGATGATTTCTGCCTTGCCTAAGGTAAGAACTGGACAATATCAAGTGAGGTGAGGAAAGATGTGAAAGGGTTTTGTAAATTGTTGGTGGCTTGCCCCTCTGCAGGCTTCGACTGCTGTGGGTTCCGGCTCTCTCGGGCCTACCAGTCCCATCTGCCTCTCTTAGTTTCTCAGTCTCTGGATGACTTGCCTTCTCAGACCCCAGAAGCAATCTGGAGTTGTTGGTGCATCTGTTAAACTTCCCAGGATTATGATTTTGATTATTTTGTGGTCTCTGGGTGGGATCACCAGGCTTTGGGATGGTGACTTAAGGCCACATGTGGAGGGGGTGGTGGAACAGGGAGCCTCTGGGGAGTCTGGCTCTGGGGATAGAGTTCTCCAGAGCTGAACCCTGATCTTTATTTCATGGCCCTTAGTTAATCCTTTCAGGCCCTCTGAGCAGCCTTGAAGCTGGCTGTGTGTTAAGTATATTGAGTCTTGGGTATACAGGTATCGAAGGTGTATGTATATTCCTTCCAGCCTGTGTGAAGGGCAGGCCCTGGCTGGTCCTAGGGTATTCAGTCTGTCCTGTCCCTCCACCTGCAGGTTCAGTCCTATGAACACTGGAGCCAGATGATCTGGGTTTGAATCCTAGTTTTACCACCTACTAACTCTATGACTTTGTTAGGCTAGTTAACCTCTTTATGCCTCATTTGAAAAATGGGACTAGTAATATAGGACCAACCTCATAGGGTTGTTGTAAGGATTAAATGAGATATGTAACGTGAATAGAACTGTTCCTGGTACGAAATAAGTGCTGTGTGTTTGCTATTATGTTGTGTTGTTAGGTGCTGTCGAGTTGATTCCAACTCACAGCGACCCTATGTACAACAGAACGAAACATTGCCCAGTCCTGCATCAACTTCACAATCGTTGGTATGTTTGAGCCCATTGTTGCAGCCACTGTGTCAGTCCATCTCGTTGAGGGTCTTCCCATTAACTTGCCCAAGGTTACACAGCAAGTAAATGACAGAGTCAGGATTTGAACCCGATAGCTGAGCTCCGGAGTCTGTGCTTTTAACCACTACGCTATAATCCAAGTGTTTGCTGATATTATATGATGGGGATAACGATGATTGTTACTCCAAAGCTTTCGGCAACCACCAGGGATTCCACTCTGCTGCTTGTTCAGTGTCTTCCTTCCTCTTTCCACCTTCTGAGCCCCACTGTGCACTAGGCCCTAGGCGAGCAGCCTTGCCAACTCCTGTGCATCTCTCATGTCTCTGGTTGGGTCTGACACACCGTGTATTTTGCTGATTTATTTTGTGGATTGTCTGTTTTCAGTGCCACACTAGAATGTAAGCTCCACAAGGACAGGGATTTTTGCCCACCTTATTCACTGATGTGTCCCCAGCACCTACAACAGTGCTTGGCACATAGTAGCTATTCAGTAAATATTCACTGATGAATAAAATTATTCTTAATAATTATATTGTGTTTGCTATGTGCCAGAAACTAATATAAACACTTTATTAATGTTACCCTCATAACAAGTCTATGAGATAGGTACTACATTGAAACGTGAGAGCTGGAACATGACAGGACTGCCTTGTTTTTCAGGGTCTCGAGCGTTTTCTGTCCTTGACAGGGTGCAGTCTTACCACTTTTCCATCACTCCTTTTAGTGGAAAATATTTGGGTTTTCCTTCTCTGACAGGTTTTCACTTTACACAGGCGCCAGCTTTTGTGGGTTCTACTGTATTATTATCCTCATTTTACAGAGGAGGAAACTGAGGCGCACAGAGGTTAAGTAACTTACCCAAAGTTACACAGCGAGTAAATGACAGTCAGGATTTGAACCCTGATAGTTTAGCTCCAGAGTCTGTGCTTTTAACCACTACACTATGATCCAAGAAAAACACCAGCCAGGGGTGGCTCCCCATGCTTCACCTGCCTTGGGGACTTGCTGCCCCTACAGATGCTCGGCTTCTGGTCATCCAGGAGGAGGAGAAGGTGAACTTTGCCTGCCAGACTGAGTCCCTGTCACAGGGTTTTTCTCCTGCACGTGCTGGGTTGGAGCTGACTGTCTGGGAAGTTGTCGGTCCTCCTCCCCCTCCGCTTTTGCTATGTCACCCGGAGCCAAAGGTATCCATGCATGTCTCACCTAAAGGGCCTCTATTTACCTTACACCCATCTGAGGCTATTTCTGTGCCAAAACCCAATGGCTACAGAGATGAACCCCCTACAGCTGTCTCCTCAAGAGTGTGTTTTGGGCCTGACCTTGACCACTCTACAGAGCTCCATCTGAGAACCTCTCTTCTTCAAACTCTAAATACACTCTCATAGCATTAACTGACATCCATATGCTGGTTCCCAAATCCATATCTCCAGGCCAGACTTTTCTCCTGAGCTCCAGACTCACCCCTGAATCTATCTGCCTCCTGGACATCCCCACCTGGAAGTCCCACAGGCATCTTAAATTCAGCGTGTCCCAAACAGGATGCATTGTAGCCCCCAAGAGCCTCCTAAGCCAGCTTCTGTCCCTCCTGGTTCTTCTCCAGGTGGGTAACACCAGGTCACTTATGCTGTAAACTTGGCCTTGAACTTCATTCTAAAGGTGGCGGAGCACATAAACCACTCTTTTGGCAAGACTGTGGGTAAACAGGCACACTCACCCCTTGCTCGTGGGAGTGCAAAATTATACAACCCAGACAACATTTGGAGCCTTGGTGGTGCAGTAGCTAAGGGCTCAGCTGCTAACCAAAAAGGTCAGCAGTTCGAATCCACTAGCCACTCCTTGGAAACCCTATGGGTTAGTTCGAGTCTGTCCTGTAGGGTCGCTATGAGTCAGAATCAACTCTATAGCAATGGGTTTGGTTTTGGTTTGGTAGACAACATTTATCAAAATTATAAGTGTATATATATATAGAACCAGCAATCCCACTTAAACTATGTGAAAGCTATTCCTGCAGTATCAGGATAAACACCACATAACTAGAAGAAAATGTGGGCAAAATTCTTTGTAACCCTTGGAATAAGGAATGCCTTTCCAACTTCAGCTCAAAATTCAGAAGCTATAAAAAGAAAAGCTTAATA